TTCCTGAAGGTAACTTTAAGAATCGTAGTATTCATGGAAGTGCTTTTGTGATAAAAATATAGTTTTTTAGTGTTTATTTTTAAAAGTGTGTTTTCTTCAAGCAGCATTTTTATGACCCTCAAAATATGCTACATAGGCCTATTTGTTTGATATGATCAAATGTTTTGTTAAATGTGTTTTAAAAATCTTTAAAAAATTACTACCCTACAACCTTGCTCGCTGTCTATAACATACTTGAACTTGAACACCTATTAATTTACTAAATATAATACATATATACAGCTAGAACATGGCTGGACTGCTTCCCTTCCAAGGCTTCATTATTACTGTATTTAATTTTTGACGTCGAGTCAATATATAGGCCTAATACGATGAATTTGTTTTCTAAATTCATATTTGTTATTTTGCGGGGCATTGAGCCGCACAGGTTCACTAGTTATAATTAATTATCCCGCGGTCATGGATGGGTTTTAAGAGTTAATTTGCATTGTGAGGAGGACAATCTTTCATTGCGGAGGACATTATCATCGTCTACCACGAATGAGACAAAATTCTGATCACCCCTCGCGGCCGTTAAGACATCATTTTATCCTCCCCCGAAGTCGTAAGTACATAGCAACCGCCACCCGCAATTGCAGAAAAATGGTGATCCCTCGGCCATGTAGCCTATTGTATAGATCATCATCTTGCGCGAATGAGGCAAAATTCTGATCTTTTCCCACGGTGATGTGGGAACCACATTATCATCGTCTTGCCCGATCGGGGCATAATTCTGATCATCCCTCGAGTAGTCCGGTTAAAACGATGTCCGGTTGAGAGGTGTCCGGATAAGAGGGAGTCTACTGTAAAGGAAAAGTTGAAGTTATTACTTCGGGGTATTACGAGATCTATTTAAATTATCTCGTTCATTTATTAGTGAATTTCCCTATAGGGAAGTAGCTATTTCCGTACCGTACGTCTCATGGTAAGACCTAGGCCCGGGACCGATTTACTTTTTCATTTTGATGTCCCCAGAAGCCAAAAACACCATTCGTTCAAATTTTTATGTACCTATGTATATATCTATATACAGTCTAACCTTGATATAACGAACCTCAATATAACGAATTCCTTGATATAACGAATTTTTTTTAAATCCCCTAGAACTCTCCATAAGAGACTATGTATATTTTACCTCTACATAACGAACAAACCATAACAACGACCTTGATTTAACGAATTTTTCGTGATTTCGGCTAAAATAAGACACCTCAATATAACGAATTTATCATTGTCAAAACCTCTACATTGCGAATTTAACCTCTGCATAACGAATTGTCTACGTCTTTCCCTTGATGTAACAAATCCCCCACCCCAGTATTGTTTTTGGAAAATCTGTTTCTTTATCAAATTAAATGGAAAGGTGACGTCATCGCTTGCGCTAACATTCGTCTGCTCCGTTTTACACATATCTCTGTCTGCTGTCAATCTGCTGTGCGCGCTATGTTGCAACTGAGAACTGATTTCATTCAATGAGGACTGATGACGACGTAATCTGTAGTAAGCTGTGATTGGGTGATAAGTAAATACAGTAGAACCTCTTTAATCCGAACTAATTGGGACCAGGGGTAGTTCGGACTATTGAATAGTTCGGATTACAGAACATATTGTTGTTCTTACATAACAATACCTAAAACATGGCTAAAATTGATCAACATTATTTTGGGAAAAGTGAAAAAAATGTTTTATAAAGTAAAATACAGTGTTTATTTAATACAGTAGTAAACATGGTGAATAAACAGTACTGTAAATTAAATACAGTATACAATAAAGAACTACTGTACTGTGTGTAGAGTACAGCAATGAGGGGTTCGGATTAGTGGACGTTCGGATTAGGGGGGTTCGGATTAAAGAGGTTCTACTGTATGGTGAATTTTACAATTTTTGGATAAAGATAAATCTAAGAAAGAATATAAAAACATAAGCAAAGAGAAAGAATAGTAACATCGTTATTTTAACCCATAATTTACGAGTGTTTTTATTATCTTTAAGTTGGCTATGAATATGCACTTTTATAATGACTCATCTAATAATTTATTGTTTTCAATACGATTTGTTTCAACTAGCAACACCAATGCTATAGTTAATGATTATTATTGACATTCCTCTGTTGTGATAAATCAGTACTGTACTGTAAGTAGCCTACCGGCCTATCACGGAGCAGTCAGTAGCTTACAAAACTTTCTACTGTTTTGTTTTGTTTTTTACATGGTTAATGACTACGCAATGTAGTGTTTGGCTAGGTTTTAGGAGGGTTAGAACAAGCTGTGATTTTAAACTTACAGTTTTTAACCTGTACCAACGTCAATGCCATTGTCATGATTGCGCAATATTCAAGATCCCTCACCTTTATTATGCCGGATAATTTAGGTTCTACCATTGACTATTGGATACAGAAAGTTCTACTGTACAATGAACACTGTACTGTAAAGTATTATAGCCTATGATAATTTAATTGTGTTTTCATGAGGTCAAATCCCGGCCTATATTGACCGACGCTGGTTCTGAACCTCGACTTAGCGAAATTCCTGCAAACCTAACCTCTATATAACGAACCTCATTTTAACGAAATCCTTGATATAACGAATATTCAGTTCGGTCCCTTCAGATTCGTTATACTGAGGTTGGACTGTATATATGTGTCCATCCGCACGATAACTTGAGTAATTTCTGTCCGATTTTGGTAAAAATTGGTTTGAAGGTGTGAGGTGTGATAAACTTGAATGAGTTCGCAAACCAGCATGATCGGACCATGGGAACGGGGTTTAACGGGGGGATTTATGGGGTAAAAATGGGTTTTTCTCATTTTTACCCTTAAAACACACAATTTATCAATTTTTCTCCAGACCTTTTTAAAGAGCTTAAAAAAACAAATAATTTAGTAGGCCTAGGCCTATATTAAAGTATTTTTTTACCATAATTGGTTACGGAGAAAATTAAAAAAAAAAAAAAAATTTAAAATTCCCATGTTATTCTTAGCCTACGTAGAATATTATAATAGCCTATGTTGTAATTGGCTTGTTTATGGCTAAATTTTGATCGTAAAATACATCGCTCTTGACGTAAAATACATGTTTAAATGTTGTTCCATGAAAAACAATTATAACGATATAACCTTGAAACACCATTAGTTCAACAAATCCTATCCTATTTTAGGGTTAAATGTTTAATAGTCAGGCTAATATTGGTAGGAAGAAGGAAAGAAGAAAAGGTGAAAACAGAGCTGAGAGCTCCACTTACGGTAGCCTACCGGACTGTAGGCCTAAATTTGATACAAATTCATTGAAATAGCTTCTAGCGTAGTCAGTGGGACTGCACATCACTTGAGGTTATGTTTGGTGCACATTTTGACCGCCCACCCAACTTTGTTTTTTACAATTTTTTATTGAAATATTTAAGAATAATGACCTAACTTAACCCATGCTTAGGTTAACAAAGTGCCAAAAATTACCGATTTTGGGTAGCCTTTAAGTTAAGTTAAACCAAGGTTAAGGTTAGTAAGTTTAACTTAATAACTTACGTTATTTGACACATTTAAAAGTGTGCCAACATTTAACTTAGGCCTCTGAGAGATTTTAAACGCTTATCAAAATTTTTGAAAATAAGTATTTTAGGCCTACCGGTAAGATGTGTCTAGGCTAGGCCTAAGCCGAAAAAAGTGGAAGAGGAAAAAGTGTTTGAAATGGCCAAGAAATAGGACTAAAGTAAATGAGATAAATACCATTTAAGTTATTTTTACTTAAATTAAAAAGAAGTTTGGTCCCACAGTTTCTTTTAACTGGGCTAACTTAACTTCATTAAGTTAACTTAAGCCTAGACACTTCCATATCTGATAATGTAACTTAAGTTAGATCAAACAACCGAACGAAAATATCGATCGATATATCTAACGATCGATAAGTTATCGGCCTAGGCCTAAGTAAGTTTAAGTTAATTAACCCTTTGGGTGCCAGAAATTTATTTTGGTACTTTCCGAAAAGTGCCAGAGTTTTTTACTAGGTGGTAGCCTACTATTGTCTGAAAAGTGCCAGGTTTTCTTTCTTGGAGGCAAAGCGTAGGCCTGGTGCGCAAGAATAAAAATCGGTGAAAGTAGGCCTATAAAATTTCATCCCAAAAGTGCCATGGAACGATAGGCTATAGGCCTAACTTATCTTGACTCGATAAAGAAATAGATTGAAATCATCGATGTTTTATAAGTTAGGCATAATAACAACCGAGTCAACCAATATGCCCATTAAAACTCACATGATCAATGTATTTTTCGGGTAAGAGTACCGACGACGACATATCATTGTGAAGTTTTTTTCAGATGTGTTGTGCAAAACGTTGTTTAAGTTGCCTAAGTTAGTTATTGTTGCGTGGCACTCAAAGGGTTAAACAATCGAATAATCATTAGCTTACTCATTCGGTTGTTTGTGCCAACAGATAAGTTATGGAAGTGTACCCAACCTTGATTCAATTATTTCACTATCACCAAGTTTGGTTAGTTAGGTTAGGTAGGAGAGTTTAATTTTAAAATTGATAGGTAGGACTAATTAGGGGACTCAGACCTAGGCCTAGGCTGGTAAAAATGATTAATATTTTCAATTCGATAGTTTCAATCGATATTAGGATAGAACAGTTAAGAAACAGTACCGGAGATGGTTTTCATGCCCTAAAATCGCAGATTTCTAGCATTGTTCCTGATTTTCAGGGTGAGCCTAACTTAAGTTAGGCGTTTCCACCAAAAGTGCCAATGGTAAAAAAGCTCTTAAAATTGTATAATTTTGGTAGGTACCTAAGGCAAAACATGTAATATGACATAGGTAGAATAAGTTCAGTATTACCGGCATTTCATACCCTAGGCCTAGGCAGTTCGGCGACTTACAAGCGGGCATAGATTTAAACTTTCGCTGAGGCTTATTTCAACTATATTTCTTGAACAGACAAGTTCATCAAAATATCACTAACTACATATTTACCTGAGGAATTGAAATTCTTTCCTTAGAAAGCTGAGTCACTGAAATTAATTTACAAAAGTAACAACACTGATCGAAGAAAGAACTAAGTCACCCACAACACAAAATGGCGGATCGGATCAGATCATAGAAATAGATGCAGATGGCGATCATGGCGTCTCGAGTCGATGGCGATGCAATTCGGGCGGGGAATTGAATTAGATAGACTGGACTGGAGTGGAGGCAGACTGACTAGACTGGACTGGGTTCACCGAAACGAAGTGAGTGAAAGGGGAAGACGAATAAATTGGACCGGATCTTCCTCCGTGGAAATGGAGTTTTCTTTCCATTTCCCGTACATCATAATCGACAGGTTTGGTAGAAAATAATCCAATAAACCAGAGATAGGGTTAAAAAATACATGTATGAAATTCAAATTACTACAAGCAGCACATGTCCGTATTGGTAGCATTTCTATTATACACTGTTCACAAAATGTATGTGTTTTGAGGGGAAGTTCCCTCACCACTTTTTTGTGCTTAATGTCTGTTGCTTGATCAGGTGTAGAGCTATTATTTTAAGGCAAAATGTCAAGTAGAGTGGATAGATGTGATTTATCCCCCCCCCCCCGTCAAAGGTTTGCCAAATGGATTGACAACTGCGCCAGCTGATCAATTTAGCATTGTTTATTTATTAATTTTTACAGCAAACACCATTTTTACACTCGTTTTACATATTGTGATACATGATACATACATGCGACAAGATGCTTATTACATGCTGATAAATGTTGTACAGATACATCAGTTCTACATGCAAATATGAAAATGAAAAGCTGAAAAAACACGTTCAATGAAAATGACATGCAGTTGTAAAACAATTGAAGAGTGAAAGTTATATTAACTTGGTTTTTTGTTGCTAACTTGTTTTTAGTACATTAAGTGCCTACAAGCACGCTATTTTGAATTGTTTGCTCGAAATACAGGAATGCGGAAAAGTTAAACTAGTGAGATAAAGTGGACTTAAGTAGGTTAAATCACTGTTAATAACTGTTAATAAGGAATCAACTACTTTGAGTGCTATGTAGAAAGTCCGTTTTTTTCATGTAAGTTTAGGAAAATTATATTTTATAATTTAAAAAAACGGACTATATTTTTAGAATATTATCTATATAAATAAAATTAGAGTTTTGTCTGTACATTGCTTAGAATAATGAACTTTTTGGTTATTTTTACATTTCATAGGTCAGAGAAACCGAATCAAACCTTATCTCAATTTCTGTCTGTCTGTCTGTCTGTCTGTCTGTCTGTCTATCTGTCATTCTCTTGGTAACGCTAAAATACGCACTTTATTACAACTACTCCTCAATAACTATAGCACTGTCCCGCCTGAAACTTATTTTCCAAATACTATACATATATGAGATGGTTTTAGACGTATTTCATCGAATATGAGACAGTTAGATATTTAACAGTAAACCCTTGAAAATCAAGTTTTTGTCGATTTTTGACATGGAATTTCTGGAAGCCCATGTTAACCTTATGAGAAATGAAATTATTGAATCTTAACAGCTGTTTCAATTAAACAAGTTGGTTCTGTTCTGTGATGTTCAATAGCATTAAAGTTACAAGGATTACCAACAGGGTGCAGCACTAGCACTATTATTTCTTTTACATTTATGACAACAGCTAATTTGCAACCTGGAGGCGAGTGAGCGTAGCGAACGAGCTAACCTGAAGGCAAGTGAGCGTAGCGAACGAGCTAACCTGAAGGAAAGTGAGCGCAGCGAACGAGCTCCAACATACAGGTGAGTGAGCGTAGCGAACGAACTTCAACCAGGACGTGATTGAGCCATGCAAACGAGATCAGATAGTAAAAATAAAAGTAAGCCTACCGTTATAGGATCGACCGGCAGACACAGAGGTAATTTAACCTTTTATTGATTGTCATACCGATCCGGAACAACAAAAAACAACATAAAATGAAGCTATGTATAATAGTTTGGCCAGCATATCTTAAAATAATATGCAAACCAACTGCTGTTCGTTATATAAGAAGGTTTCAACTGAATATTATAAGATCCCCGTGCGTAGAACGGGTACACAGCTAGTATATTCTAAAATTATATACTTAGTAAAAGGTATGAAAACAGAATTTTACTTTTTGTAAACCATTATAATTTTATGTCCCTGTCAGCAACGTAATGGAAACCTTAAATAGAATAATATTCAGTTATAAGTTATATTAGCAGACTCTTTTAAGTGATACATTCAATTTCTTATGGCTCATCCTTATTCTTTTGCTTCCCTAACAAAATTTCAGATATTATCTGTTCTACATATTCTTTAACGAAATCAAGAGAGTTATCAGGATCACTTTTCTTGATTTCGTTGTCGATATATAACTCTTTTTGTGGAAAGTCGCTTTCCTCCATGACTTTGAGTCCTTGCTAAAGGCTCTTAATATGATTTCTCAGCTAAGACTTGTTGACCAAAGGATGGTGAATCCCACCAAGATCTCTGCTCTGTAGGTCAGACTTATTACCCCTTTGTAGAAATAAGTTGCTTCTCTCCATGACTTTGAGTCCTTACTGAAGGCTCAAAATTATGTCTCAGAGCTAAGACTTGACCAAAGGATAGGATGGTGAATCCCACCAAGAGATCTCTGCTCTGTGGGTCAGACTTATTACCCCTTTAATTCTTTATTTTCGTTTCGTCCCAATACGTGAAGAATGAGCGTACGCCTAGTAATTACAGTTTTATATGACGTGATTATTACGGACCTACACTGTCATTCTGAAGACGTCAGTATGTTGACCAAACAAGCCACAACTTTGCAGTGAATATATGAGCGACAGAAGATGAAAAAATATATTCATTGACGTTCCACTAGCAGGACATTAACTCATATTGCGTTATGTTATTGGATTACTGTTGGGTTCTATCATTCGATGAACGATGAACCCACGGGGAAGTAAGGAAGTTCGTTACTTCTCTGTGATGAATCAGAGCTAACAATCATTTTTGATAAGTGATCTATGATGAACGGTATTGAAATCAAGCTGCTGAATATGGACCCTCCCCCTCTCCTTTGGACTAGGTAAATACACAGTACACACCCTGTTTGTTACCGACTCCACACGGAGATGAGTGACGGGTCAGAGCTCCAAGCGAATGGAGAAAGCAGGAGGAAGAACTAAGGAGTCTGCTATTAGCTTATAACGATCGATTGGCGGTAATTAGCTATTGCGCAACTCACAAGACCTGGGGACATCATCGGTGAATTCAGCATTGCCCATGAACAACAATTGGTTGTATATCATGAGTGTTTACGTTTACAGTGCTCACCTAACAAAAGGTTTCCGAATCGATCCTGAGAAAATAAGCTTTTTGATGGTTCGAAACTGGACCCAACTGTCCCTGGTCGTTTGGGCTTAAAGATACTGGCTAGTAAAACAGTTGATCAGTATCTAAAGCTACACAGATCATCTTACTCCAGTCTACACTATTCCTTGAATCATATTCGGGTTAAAATGTGCACCTACTACTATTTAGATTAAAAATTAAAAATTATGAACATCCCAGACTACAAATTAGGATTTATAAACATTAAGGTATAATTAACATTAAGGATTAATTAAGGTGTTAACCTATTTTTATACTGTCAAAAAATCAATCTTGGTGTCAACGATGACTAAAAAAGATGAACACCTATTATTGAATCATAAAACCGAAACCATCCAACAAATATTTGGCATTTTTATCCAGATAGACATAAATCTGACTAATCTGTTCCCAGAGAACAAGTGAATTTTTAACATCGTGGTTTACAGGCATCAAGTGATAGCCATTCTTGAATGAACGGCTGACACAACACTGTCTTGTACTTCAGTTTTCCCACAGAAATATATCATTTCAAAAAAATAGCGGCATCGGAAGTAAGCGTAAGTGGTCGGGGATTCCATGTCTTCCTCCCATTGTCCAAATGTGGACGGGAAGTTTATAATTATGGTAATTTCAGGTTCGACCTCTACAAATGGCGCTACTTTCTTCTCCATTTTGTCAGTTCTCGCACTAATAAACACGTAATGTGTTTACAATCTACTTCCGGACCAGCACAGCTGACGTAACAGCTGAGCTAAAGGTTATCAGGTTCATCTGCTTGTAGTGTGGTAGCTCTAGTGGTATACCTAGTGGTTCCGCAAATTAAATTAGCTACGGTTGAGTTAGGTTTGTTTTCACTCAGTCCCATCTCTTCCACAATAAGGCCACTCGTGGACGTGCTTTGTAAACAGCTGGAGTTGGATGATCTTAGGAAAAAGTGGAATATTTTGCCGCCTCACTAAAAAAATACCATAAAATACATATTACAAATTATTCTTTGGAAATTGATCATCCACAGTTATCAGCTGATAACAATTGAAATGTAGACTTTTGGTGTGCTTTAATGCGTTGATGTCTTATATTATTAAAACGTTTTTTAATAATTAAAACGTTTTTATTAGCTCGCTTTCTTGTCCGGTACAAATTTTGAAATCAATTTTATACTAACTTCCCGATGAGCTAGAGACTTGAAACTTGAAACATAGCTCACAAAAATGGAAGACAATGCAATATTAAATCGGTACTTACGTATTATACGGAGGCCACTTATTTTACAGCGCGCTGCGGCGGTTGGGTTAAGTTGGGTTATCATAAATATGTTTGTAGAACTTTCTTAGTTTCGTTATGAATCGAACTATACGAGATGAGTCATAAAAACTTATGATAACCCAACCTAACCTAACCGCCGCAGCGCGCTGTAAAATAAGTGGCCTCCGTATAATACGTAAGTACCATTAAATAATTTAATTTTCATATTTCCCTCGGGCTATGCCCCATGGCCTTATTTTTATTAAATCGCTTTCTTGCAAATTTGGATACTTCCCGATGAGCTAGAGACTTGAAACTTGAAACATAGCTCACAAATGGATGACAATGCAATATTATATAATTCAATTTTCATATTTCCCTTGGGTTACGCCCCATTGGCTTCTTTTTATTAGCTTGCTTTCCTACAAATTTTGATATCAATTTCAAACTAAGTTCCCGATGAACTAGAGACTTGAAATTTGAAACAAGTACAGCTCA